ACACAAATAACAACAATAACAAACAACAATTAGTCTGAAAGCAACTCTGCTCAATTTAACACTTTTTCTGAGGGAAGGGAAATTTAAAAAAATACAGCTTGATAATAAATACTGGAAGATTAAAAAAGAAAATTATGTAAGTCTTGTTCCATATCCAAATAAATTGCAAAAAAGTTTCTAGCTGTTAAATTTCTGAGTTTATTAGTTGAAGCATCCTCCTTGTTAATTACAATAAAAAAAGCAACATTAAAGAAGAAAATATAAACTCGGCAAAAATTAACACAATGATCCCATTTTTATTGGTAGTTTGAATTTCTTGTAATGAACCCCACGAATAAACAATTTGTAAGTGTTACCAAATGATATGGACAAAGCACAAGGGTTATGATGTTAGCAGTTATGGGGAAAAAAAAATGAAGCTATTTCCTTTAAGCCAAAAGGTGAAAGTCTTTTGTCTTAATTAAAAAAGACAAAACTATCTGCTGAGATTGCAAAGATTGAATCTATTCATAACATAAATTTTATAATCTATTGTTATAATTGTTTTATTTTATTATTAGCTATTGTTGTTAATCTTTTATTGTGCCTAATAAGATCCACAGTAAGAAGGAATCTTTTATCCATTATACAACTTATTACAGTATATTATTATAATTGCTCTATTTTATTATGAGTTATTGCTTTTCTTTTTATTTCTTATTGTGCATGGTAAGAACAAATCTTCTGTCATGTAAAATAGAACAATTACTGTAATAAGTTATTCTTAGTCATTATTGTTAATCTCTTACAGTGTCTAATTCATAAATTCACCCATAAACTCTGGTGGGAACTGCCATGATTCATAGATGAGCTATAGAATTGCAACAAAAGAAATGACATCAACAGCTGATGAGTTAAACTGTCATCATACCCAGTGTGTCAGGCCCTCTTGTGGTGATCTTAGAACATATCACTTATTAGGGGATTAAGGAAAAAATATTCCTCCTCTGTTTTTAAAGTTTTATTGTTAAAGAAAGTATTGTACTTGAAAATTGACAAAATTGAATTTTTGCAGAAACAAAATTAGTTGATTAGATTCTTGAAAAGTTCATTTAGTTTGGCATCACTTGACAAACAATTCATTCCTTTTGTTTGTATCATTTTACTCTTGCTTCCTCTCTCATTATGATGTGAATTTGCTAAATTACTTTGTCATCATGCTATGCCAACAAATTTCCTTTCATAGCATTTCTCTGCATAATGAGGAAGACTCAGCCATGCCCATGTCCTTTCCAAGCCACTTATGAGATGACTGTTCTGGGTTCCACAATATCATCAGCAATGAACAATCATTGATTTGCCAAACACCCAAGATAGATTACCTATGTGATATTAAGGTCTCCAGCCATCTCCCTCTCCCCACATCTCTTGGTGGAGAAGAGAGTTAATTCCTTTTCTCCTCTGGCATTAGGGTAAAGTGAATGTTAACAGTACAAGCCAAGATTTCAACTGGTTTGTGCCAGCTTCACTTTCATACTTGACTGATACGTAAATGTAGATATCAATAAGCTTGTGCCAAATGAGGTAATAGCTCTGTTTAAGAAAATGGCCAATCCAGATGTCTTTTTCATAGCATTGCTGTAAGTAGTATATAATGAGCATTCTGATCGGTCAATAGACAAGCTAATGACAGCTTTGTCCTGTTCTCACCTTAGTGGATAATTTAGAAAAATTTTTGATCGGTGAAAATGTACTGAGCTGCCTTCTGACCAACAACAATGTGGAAACGTCAACAGACATACATGTACCATTTGAATAAATAAATATATATAAACAAACTTTAAAAATTAGAAGGTCAGATAGACTATGAACCTTGGTTTTGACCTCATGGGCTCATCAGGTTAATTCTATCAACTGACCATCCAACGTTTTATTTAAAAAAAAAAAAACACAAAGAACGCTACATTATTATTTTTCAAAAATAAATAAATAGTCAAATGCATAATGTTGAGTATAATAGAAAGGTGGTGGGGTGAGAAAGAAGAAGAAAGCAAGTGTATTGCAAATATATAAAGAAAAAAAAGAAAAGCTAATGTAAAAATTAATAAGATTGTTCATATGGACAATCTATATAGGCTAGTCAGAAGGCAGATTGGTACATTTTCACTGCTCCAGTGTCAGTCGTGTGTGTATGTAATTACATACACACATATATATATATATATATATATATATATATATATATATATATATACACACACACACACACGTGTGTGTGAGAGATATATATTTGTCTGCCAAAGTGGAAATGAAGCAAGGCTGTCATTGGTTTGTCTATTGACCAATCAAAGGACTTGTTACAACATTGCTGTGAAAGTGACCTCTGGATTGGCCATTTCTTTTATTTTCTTAAAAGGAGCTGTTATAAGGTGTCATACAATCTTGGTTTTTCCCTTGATCCAATCACCAAGTAATGTTAACAGTTGGAAAATGTACAACTATTTTGACCATCAAGCAGGCCCCATTGAGGCATCTAATGAAAATTGAACTACATTTACTAGTAGTGGTCTGTGAGAAGATCTTGTTAACTACTCTTTATACTAACAGTTTTACCGTTTATGTCTTTAAGTGAAAAGGAGTTTACCAAACTTTGAAAAGAGAATTTCAGTTGACAATTTTATCTCATCTCAACCAAAGAGAAATGGACAAAAAGGAAAAGGCAGGCATTAATGACTGTATTGTTATTTTTGGAAATTGGTATTTATATAAACTTTTAGAAATCATTGAAGTTACTATTTCACACAACCTACAATCTGGATTTACTGTTTGCAGGTTTAGCCTCAGCTGGGGAGACAAATCACCCCTTACTATCTTGCAGTCAGTCTGGTACTTCAAAGTTTTCAGTAAAGATCCCCTTAATGCATTGGAGTTAGTTTTGGTGCTTTTAAATACAAAATTCCACAATATAGGTAATTATAAACATTCATTGTAAAATATTGAAAGCTAAAGTTTATTTTCTTCTGTAGAGAGTAAAATTTCATTTAATGTTGAACTATATGGTCAAATAGTTACAGCATTAGCCATCCAACTATGAGACATGGATTTGTATAACCATGGAGCCTTGTGAGTGAAATTGAGTAGATGAAACTGTTTGGAAGCTGTTGATGGTTGTGCTAGTATGCAGTCACAAGTCCTCAACTAATGTGCAGATAGATGACCAACCAGGGTTAAAGAGCTTCTATGTGGAGAGGGTGTCTATATAAAAACACCCATCTCTCAGCAGCTTGGCCAATTGCAGGGATGTATCAGCCTGGAGAAAGGTACAAGGACTGAAGTCCTTAAAGAAATTAGTTGGGCACTTGCAGGCTGCCATAGATGAAAATAGTACAAAACACAAGAGAATACTATGCAATTTTTTTACTCTCAACTTTTCTGACTGAGGAGAGAGAGAGTGACTGCATTTATTAGTCACATGGCTGACATTTGTTTTTTTCCCCCTCCTTCTTGCACTCTACTTATTGTCTCTTCCATCCAATTGGTATTATTTTGTACAAGGAACAACAGAGACAAATAGTGAAAGTATGGGTCAACTGGGTGCAGCCCAGTGCCAAACTGACAGTTCTCAAGACATGTGAATATCTTCGGGAACACTCCAGTTGTAAACCGTAGTTCTTTAGAAAATGTTTTTGTTTTCTTTTTTCCCCTCACTCTCTTCATTTGTGTCCAACTTGTCAAATTATTGGTTCTGGTTTTCACAAATATTATTCTGGACTTGAAATCTTTAACTGTAGTAAACCATGACATGTTAATCAGTGTTGCCTGTATTCGAAGACAAACCATGAGCAGAATTGAAGTATTGTGTTTTAAGGTAAGCATGACCTCACCGGGTGAGTGGCACTACACTACTTTGCAAAACCTAATATCAGATGAGCCAATTAAGTTTTTTTTTTTTTTTTTTTGTCATTTCAAAATTTCTGGAGAAAAGATTTTTTTTCTTGTTTTTCACCATTTTCATTGATGATCTCCCTTGATTTTTACAACCTGACATTTTACAGGGAATTCTTGGGTTTTAAACCCAATTGTGTGCTTGGTTTCATCTCATTACCATGAATTGTAAAAATAGGAAAAAAAAAAATTCATTTCAAAGTTAAGTAGTAAACAGTCTTTGTATAAATTTGTATTTTAGCATGTTTTTGGGTTATCTTCAGTTTTGCATGAGCTGAATTTGGTTTTGCATGCAAAAGATTCTCGTTGTCTTAAAAAGCTTCAAATTATTTTAATTGTTCAAATGTCAGAGTTTTAGTTGCATGGGTGGAACAAGTATGTTTAAATATCATTGATTTTGAAGAAATATTCCATTCAGTTCTAAGTACTGGTTTGAGACAGTTCATTCAAATGAAATATTCACTTAAAATGGGGAACGAAACTTACTCTACTATTCCTGAATTCGCACATCAATGAGAATGTAAATAGAATGCTTTATTTTATACAACTTTGTAGTAAGAATACCAGATTATTACATAAAAGGTTCTGTTTCCAATTAATGATTTTGTTTTGATAAAAATGATTTCTGTACCTGAAGTTCTGGCACCATTTCTTATCATTTAAATTAAAAATAAAACATTTATTTTAAAATATTTCTTTTAAATTAATTATACAAACTTATTTGTTTAAAATTTACAGGATCATTGAGCCATTTCTTTTCCAACCATTTCAACAAGGTTTTGAATTATCTCCCTTGTAATATTAGCTAACTCTAAGTGATGTGTTTGATAATCAATGTGGCCTTTACTGTCACCATTGATTGTCTCTGTCAAAAAAAAATAACGTTGGCAGACTCCCGCCCATTGTTTCACATGTGTCTGTTCTTAGAGCAATTAATCCTTGAACATTTCGATGTCTTTTCTTTTTGAAAGAAGATAAAGAATATCTTGTAAAATTAAAAAAAAAATTTCTTTTGTTCCTAAATGTTCTGTTCTTTCCCTAAGCTGATGTTACTTTTTTTTCTGTGAGATGACATTTTAATTCAAAAAGACAGAATTGATGGAAGGAAGTGGTCCAGCACTGGGTTCTGTTGCATAAGTTGGGACCAAATCATGTTCGTTGTTGATCATGCTGCTCACAGCGAGGCTGAGAAATTCATCATTGCCCAGACCATCGGTTGTTGGTGCCACTGTTAAAACAAAATAAAAGAACGTTAATATTAAGTGAAGCATGCCAAAGAATTAGGAAAAAGAAGTAGAAGGAAGAAGCAGAAGTCTGAGAAAGAATAATTAATTGAGAATAAGTTTCTTTAATTTGTCTAAACTGTTGTATTTTTCACAGCATTCATTGCATTTAGTGTTGGAATCTAAGGAAAAAAAATTAGCATTTAAATAATCTTCAGAATTCTATTTTGAATAATGAAACTGAAGGGATATCATGAAATAGATTAACAAATTTTAAACCTTATTTAGATGGTTAAGAATTTTAACAACTCTAAGAGCGAAGTCCTTTAGTCCATCTTCAGTGGTAGATATTCTCATTCTGCTGTCCTTGTGTATTTGGGATGTAGTTTTTTTGTTTTGCACTAGTAGACCTAAAGGACTGAGCTCACAACTGCTAGGTAACCAATTAACAAGTACTGTTTTGTTTTAAATGGGATTGGGAATAGGGAGAATTAAGATTGGTGCAGTGCAATCATCTCTGAGGCGTGCTAACTCTCTTTAAAAAAAAAAAATCAGCCTTCAACTGCTTTGACTTGTGCCATTAGAAAATGGACCATGACCTTAATGATGAGATGAATAGCAATAGTCTTGTTAACCATTGTGCCACAGTGAAGTAGTACAACAGTATTATTGATTGTGCTGGGCCTAGTGTGGTACAAGGCTACGAGTGTGGAGCACCCTTTGAAATGTGGCTAATTTCTTAACCATTTAATTGGCACTAAACATTCCCACACAGATAACAACAGCAGCAACAACAACAACAAACTAAACTTGAAATTTGTTTTGATTATCTACTCAATAATAGGATATTAAGCAATAAATCATTGTGGCTGTGAATTTATTAATGAGGAGGTACTGCTTAGGAGACGGACCTCCAGGAACCAGTCATCCTGTAAAGAAAGAAATCGAGAGGAGTCTTACCCTGGTGTCTGTTATGACACGAGATGGGTGATGGGCTGGCGTATAGGTGAGAAGTGTCATCTTTGTTTCGGTGGGGTTGAGAATGTGGGTGGATGGAGTGCTGTGGTTGGTCAAGAATGTTAAGTGGATCATTGACATCAACTGAATGGTATTGTGAGTTAACTGTGCCTCGGTGTTGAATGACAGGGACATGTTCAACCAGAGGTTTATTTGCTGCCGCTGCCACTGTTTGCTGGTTGTAACCGGACGAGTTGGTATAATAATCTAAAAAGAAAACAAAAATATCTTAGCCTCTTTGTTGAAGTAACATAGCATTATATTAAATTTTGCAGAATGAATAGTTGTATAGTCAAGGGAGGCAACTAAAAACAAAAATACTTGTACTTATCTCCCTTGAGAAAAAAAGTGTGGAATAACTAATTTTTCCCTTTCAAAAAAACAAGCTCTTTGATCCAAGAACAAGCTAAACTTGGATCAGCTTTGTTGGAAAGATAATTACGTAGCTTCCACCGATATCAGATTTGGCAAAATAATGAGCAAGCTCTACCTATTTTGAAAAACATTATCAACACAATCTTCTCCATTTTTGTTTTCATACTATGTACCTTCAAATAAGTTGCTGCTTATTTTGAATTAACAACTCTACTGCAGAAAAGGATGCATATAAGTTGGAATTAAAAGTTCATCGCCAAGAAAATGAAACTAGTATAGAGAAAACTTAATATTTTTTTAATCATTTCACCTCAAGCAAGGCAATAAAGCCACTAAGACAAAAAGAAAACATTACCAAGGAGCGAGGACAATAAAAGCGGAATCAAGAAGACAGTAGATAACGACTGATATGGCATTTAAATTTTTAAAGATCAAAGTTGGAAAGCAAGAAATCGGAAGAGCGTTTCACAAGCAAGAAAAGAAACTTAAAGAACTTATATCTTGTTTTATTTAATATTTATATTTTAAAGGGTCGAAAAACATGGAACGATAACTCACCGGAAGTCTGGTATGAGGACTGCTGGGAATAATTTGGGTTGATTTGGACGACATTGAAAGCACTTCCGCTTTGATTGTGCATTGGCGAAGGTGGATATCCACTCTGGGCAGCGGACATATTGGTGTAAGTGGACATGTTAGAAGACGCATAATAATTGTCTGCGCATGCGTACTGGTGCTGTGATTGGACTAGAGGATCTTGCTGATAAGGATAACCCATGTCCAACATTTCAGCCGGTTTGCTCGAATAGGGACTACTTCCAGTTGCCGTGTATTGTGTCTGGGACGGACGGTAAGTAGTGTTCCCGCAATATGGGTTGTTGTTGTAGTTGTAAGATGAAGGGGTCAATGGACTGTATGTTGTTTCGTGATGGTTGCCTGAAAAGAGAGAGAGAGATTGAAAGTGCAGTTAATACTTTTTTTTTTTTTACTTTTAGGATTATTTCTTTTTTCCATTTTGTCCAACTGAAGTCCTTAAAGAAATTAGTTGGGCACTTGCAGGCTGCCATAGATGAAAATAGTGCAAAACACAAGAGAATACTATGCAATTTTTTTTTTACCCTCAACTATCAAGTATCATAAATGGTGAAGGGAGTTGTATTATGATTTAATGAATTTCAGTTTCTGTTACTCGTTCATTAGGTGGGACATATATAGAGAAAATGAGGGGTCACTTTAACAGCAGTTGCCTGTAAAGTAGTAGTCAAATTTATTTTACTTTGGGCGTACATCATTCCTAACTAGGATAGATGTACTCTAGATGCACGAAGCCCAGTGTCATGAGTATGATTGTATTGCTGATATTCTTTTTATATTGAGTTTGTCGCCTTGTTAAAGGAATTTTTCCTGGGGGCAAACAACTGCCGGTGACATGCCTGTTATTAACAGAAGCAGTTCACTATTTACATTATTCGGACTATTGTCCTCATCTTTGTTGCCATATTTATCACAACGTTTTGGCCGTTGTATGCTCCGGCCTTCTTCAGGTGGTTGGAATATCGAACTGAACCCTTTATTTCGCTCGCTGGGGTAGACTGTTGTAGTTCCACGTGCCATATCTAATGGATGTCAGTTATCTCCTGTTAATTCACTTCTCCAAGTTCTCCACTGCTTTAACCAGTACCTGGCAACAAAGATGAGGACAATAGTCCGAATAATGTAAATAGTGTACATAATACCTCATCTCAGAAATATAGACAGATACAGAAGCCGTGCATTTATATTTGCCTTTATTTCACGGCAGTTCCATTGAATTATCTTATGTATGTCTGTTTAAACGTTTTCGGCTTTTAGCTTATGTGTTTTTCATTTCTTTTTCCTAGGTTTACATTTTGGAGGTTTTCGCCATTTGAGGGTTCTGGCTTTCCGCCTCCATCTTTTCTAGTTCGTCAATTCAGTTTTGTGTAATAAGTTAGTCGTTGTAGATTTCCGGCTTTTGTTTGGCTGATTCTGTTCTTTTGGGAAATAAGCTTTCCAGTCTGTCTTTCCTGGGTTTTAGTGGACGGATAAAAGATCGCTCTGACCTTTGTTTATTAGGAGATTTGTTATTTTTAGTAGGAGTTCTTTTGTGTTTGGGCTTTCGTTTTGCTATTTGCATTTTCTTTATTATTTTAGTTTTTTTTCATTGCCCTCCTTTTGCAGTTCAGCCTGCACCATTTTCTTGGAATATAGACTTTTTAGGTAAGTTTGAAATTTGGGCCAATCATTTGGTCCCAAGTGTATGAGCTTCTCAATGAGGGCTGTGTATTTGTCCGGATGACCTGCATTATTTATAGTCTTATTTTCCGTTATTTTTGCGTAGGAAGGCCCTTTCATGTAACATTCTACTACTTGCCTTGCTTCTGAAAATGAAATGTTTCTTTTATATTTCGACAATTTCCCCTTCCTTTTTCCTGAAATCGCATGTTCTTGAGTTAGCAGATCTTATCTATTCGTGGCATTCTTCAGAATGGTTTCAATCCCTTTGGCCACATTTTTCACTTTGGCCGACTCCTGCAGCTATCCCTATGATGTCCAAATTTTTGACACTTGAAGCGTCTTAGTGGAGCAGGCATATATTGTTCCACTGGCTCAATAGTATATCCTATTTTTATTTGGGTGTGTGGTGGAGGGTGAGGGGGGTGATTTCAGGTGTGTCAAAAGTTAAGGATATATGTGTCAGTTACAGTTGTTTCCCCTTTTCTTTTAATTGAGATTCTATGGTAATCGCTGGGCCCTTGGTTTTCTAAGGCAGATGTAATTTCCTCAGGTGTGGTCAGAGAAAACTCTTTACTTCTAATGACTCCCTTAGAAGTATTCAGTTTTGTATGAGGGAAAGTTTTAATTTTGATATTATGAAAGGTCTTCATCTTTATTATATTTTCTGAGTGTTTCCTATGTTCCACTGCAACTAGCAAATTACTATCAACTGTCTAATTGTTTTAGGATTAATCCTACTGGATAGTACCTTTTCAATCAAGATAAAGGAAAGTTTTATCAGCAGAGTTTCTTCTAGGGACGTGAGCACAAAAAAAATATTGGAAATTCCGTATTAATTTCTTTTTCAGAATCAGAATATGAAAGACATTTCTTGGACTTTTTATTTTGATTATTCATAATTTCTGTGTATTAATATTCACTGTCTGTGCTCCCCACCCACCGCGGAGCCAGATATTGGGACGTGTCAAGGGGGAAACCCAATCGCCTTGACAGGTCAGGACTACAAACCAGTATACTCTTATTCAAGGGAGACTCTGATCACCCGTTAAACCATTTGTTGCACTTTCCAAATAATTGTACAAACTGGCATGTTCACAGGCATATCTAAGACTAGATCTCTTCGAACCGATAGAAGGCGATGGCTGAGGGTTAAACGCCTATAAATTGGATAGAGATGGTATTTCATCACGGTTTATTACTAAACACAATATCCTAAATATAAAGTACTCCATAAATCAATATAGTTATAGGTGCTAGGTCTTGTGACCAGGTGATTAATAGGATCGGGCCTCTCCGACCGCCTGTCTAATCCAAATATGGGTGAATGTGGTGTATTGGGAATCAGAATTAACTGACTCCTGAAGCCCTCAACCATCAGGATTCCGTCCCCAGACATTACAGGTCGCCACCCACAACAAACAGGTGGCCTCATTCGTCTTGCTCCTTTGCAGAGCTGCAGTCTGCGTATTCTGAAGCCTCAGCCGACAGTGCACAAAATGGTTGAAAAGAATTTAAAACTCTTCGCTTTTAGGTATGTAAAGACATAAAAGGTGGGATAAAACATTACCCACCAAGCAGAGATCAACATTTCAAATGTGGGATGAAAGTGAACCCGTGATAATTCTATGGGTTCAAGAAGAAGAATGTTGAGCACATCTAAATCTTCAAAGATGAACTTGTCCTTAAAAACAAAAAATACAATTTATATATAATTTTCTAGTTTTGCTTTCATCACTAGGCTGACCCCGAACTCTCACCAATTACAATGAATGATTGAACTCTCAATGAGATTCTTTGCTTTGAACGTCTATTCGGATTAGAACTCGTATATAGGATCTATTGTTAAAGATGTTGGAAAAAAACGATGGCTTTTTATACCGCCATAGAAAGTATCTGACACCACCTGCCATACTTTATCTTTACTATTGTCGGATCAGACTAAAAATGGAGAATTGTTGCCACATCTGGGCTGGAGCTGCCCAGCCCTCTCTTCCTAGCCTTGACAGAGTTCAAAAGCCTTTACGCGGCCTTGTAGGTGATGAATTATATTTACCAATTATTCTACCAGTTTAGACCTTTACAGCTGAGACCTGCCATGCTATTTACACATCCTCATTTCCTTCATATTACAATTGGTAAGAGGGAAGTATCATTCAGACTGCTTCTTTCTAAGAGGTGCAGATTTGTGAAACAGTCTTCCGAGAAGGTGCTTCCCCGACCACTGCAATCTTAACCTCTTGAAGTTCAAGGTCAACCGGAATCTATTCTACATATCCGCATATCATTCTTATGTCTATGAAACAATCGCTTTCAGTAATCTTTTAACTTGAGTGGCTCTTCTATGAGCAATAGCATAAGAATATCTAGACATAACTAAATATGTGATGAACTTCCATGTAGAAATGTAGCTTGTTTGAACATTCACCATGAAAATAGCGAGAAGCAAGCGACATTTCACTTGTGGGAAAGAGGTTGTAAGGTGGAAATAATTCATCACCAACAAGGGCGCGTAAATGTTTTTGAACTCCGTCGAGGCTAGAAAGTGAGGATCGCATAGCTACAATCTTAATTTGGCAGCAATACTCCATTTTTTATTTGATTTGACTCTTGTAAAGATGGAGGCACGGTGGAGTAATGGATAGGATTGAGGAATCGGAGAGCCAAGTTCGAATTCCAGTTGAATCCATTACATTCGCTTACGTGTTAATTCCCTTGGGAAAGGTATGAATCCTCTCCCCACCCACTCCGCAGCTATGGCTAAATTAGCAGGACTGACCGGGTTCCTGGTCTACCGCAAAAAGAAATGGTAACCTACTGCGGAGAAAAATCTACCTCGTCAGTCAGTGTATCGAAAGATACATGATCGCCTAAGATGGAGTATAGCAGGGGTCAGGTACTTCGTTAATTGAGGTCAAGTCCAGGCATCATTTCCTGTAGGAAGAATTTTTGTGGCCTTCAAGATGGAATACTAGTAATTGTTAGCACAGTGCAATGATAGAAATGCTGCCTTTTATCGATTGTTAATGGATAGCTATAAACTTAAGATGACAACCAACAAATAAGGTATCTCACAAATGGCCGATTAAACTCAATTTTTCGTCGAATGAAAATAAAAATAATCCAGGCAGTTTATTTTAAATGATTGTCGAAAGAATCAACGGTTGACGACTGGTGCGATTGTTAGTAAACATTGTTTCGTACGAAACTCAACTTAATCCTACCTTTGTCATACAACAGATGTTACATTGAGTGTATGAAATGAAATAGTGATAGAGAAACTATTATGGGACTCGTGTAAGGAAATAACTCGATATTTTTCATTATAAAAATCATCAAAGTTAATTACTTTTCGGAATAATTCTGGTGCCAATATTTTCTTAGCATTCTTGAGTTTAGATTATGATTAGCCGGTTATGATACAAGGTGTTTCATAGTGGTCACCCATTTCAACATTGATCAGATCTGACGGTGCTTAACAAGCGCTTTCAGTATGATCTGACCATAAGCAAAACGTTTTAAAAAAAATAAATATAATCATACCATATTTATTGAGATCAATTTTGTTTTAACAAAATGTAATGTTACTTCAGGACGTAGGCAGTTTGGGAAATGTAGTCGTTTCCTATTGTCTTGAGTTTAGAGCCAAGGCTCGAGAACAGTCTGCCTCACTATTTAACCCATAGGTGGTGTGGAGGAGAAGAGATGTATTCATACATTTTCCAAACCCTCTTTTAAAAATCTAAGTATTCCTTTTTATTTTATCCCACCCTGCGTTTTTTGAAATTTAAAGACTCCCTCTTATTTGATTATCCCTATTTATTCAAAAGTTTTTAATTCGTTTGCTACAGTTTATCAACCCTTTGCAGGTTATTTAAAGCCAGAAATTATTTTTAGATTGTAAGAATCGTTTTTTGTTGTTGAGATATAACGGTTTAGTGAGACAAATATAACCAAGCCATAGCTGGTGGGAGATAAAGATAAAAAAACACTTTTTTTTTAGTTGTAAATAATGACCTAGATGTACTTGGAAACGAACTTTAGAGAGTTTATCCACAATTTTATTTGAATGTTCAACAACTTATTCGAATAGCTTTTTATGAATATAAAACATTATAATAATAGTTTTTATTGATTCATTCGTTTCATACGACTTATCAACCCTTTATATTTTTAGATTGTAAGATTTTATTTTGAGATAATAATGGTGTAGTAATACATGTCTTGCTAATTAACCCACAGATGAGGGGGAAGAGGTGGATTCATACCTTTCCCAAGGGTATTTACGAACCCAATGTAATTGGAACTCGGCTTTCCGATTTCCAATTCCGAGGCGTTATCAACACCTGGTATTCTTAAGCGATCACTCATCTAGGTACTGACCAGGCTCGACGTTGCTTAACTTCGGTGATCGTGAGCATCGTTTATTTAAGTCCTGAACATGAATTATGCTACCTGCCCACCCGTATCAAGAAATAAAACGATGAATAATCGCTCTTTTCGAAGGATTAAAAAAAGTCACGTGATGCAATTTAATTGGTTATATCTTACCGTAATATGCGTAACCGTGATGACCAGGTGCCGCCGCTGGTGGTGTGGTTCCCGAATAAGGATTGTGGTTAGCCGGTGGGTTGATGACGCTTGACCGGACTGGGATCCGAGGGGACATGGGCGGAGTAACCATCTGACCGTTACCGTTCATTGCCTGCGAAAAGATTTTGAAACTTGAGAGAGAGGGGAAAAATTGACCAAAGAAAGCATTCTAAGAGTTCTTCATAGTCAATGATCTTTATAATATACTACGCGTGACATAGCTGGCGGGCTTGTCTGGAGGAGGAAGCAGAGGGAGGGAACTTGTTGAGAGCTGCGAGGGATAGACGGAGGTAGAAAACCATGACCGCCTACGTCCTGAAAGGACATGGCACAGAAAAAGAAAGAATATAATATATCGTGGAAAAAAAAATTGTCCGAAGACTATACCGATGTAAGCCGAGTGATCGCTGAAAAGTTCTTTCCAAAATCAAACCCACGTGATGTTTGGAAAGAATGAAAAATATTTTGGTTTTCTCCACTCTCTAAGGTCAACTATAGGCATTAATATATCCAACATCTTAGCACAATGGAAAGAAGGACGAGAATAAACTCAAGAAATTAATTCCAAAAATGAGTTATACATAAGAATATTTTTATACAAGACTTAAACACACAAATATAAGCCATACTAAGTAGATATATATTACTTCAAACAGTATTATAGTGGACACACCATATCTGAAATAGACACTCATTTCTATTTATTAAACAGTGTGTATTACGTCTTTCGACATGCACATTCGAGAAATGCATTTCCAGGCAGGATTGGACCCTCGTTCCCTTTTGTAGGAGAAGCAACCGTTCGATAATGTTCTAAATAGTAAAAGTATCGGATTAAAAATAAATGTATTAATTCTTTAGAAATTGCTTTGATTACGATTCAGATATGAAACTTTTGAGAAGATAATCTGGGTGAAGAGAGTGTGGAATGTAGAACATTACTTGCTGCGTCGTGTTTACCGTAACCGAGCGATAAAGAAGCACATAGGATCAAACGGTGGTTTTCCCCTACAAAGCGGGGGGGGGGTGCAGATTCAAGCCCTGCTGAGGAACAAATTTTTAAGGCTGATAGACGTAATACACACTATTTAATACAACTCTCCTTAATTTCGTTCAAGATGTTTCGACGGCCATTTTAGCATTGAGTAAAAGTAACAAGACATCGTATGTAGACTGTGGAGCGGAGACTTAATTTGCTGCTATGTTTTGATCAGAGAATCCTGTGTGACCCTTGAACAATTTTCCCGCTCGGTCGATTCCGCAGTACAGATACTCACTATATCGTCTGAGTGACTCCACATGAGAGTGTTCGAGTATGAGAAGTAAGGTGCCATCCGGTTGGTTGCCATGTTACATCTTTTTTCATTTTCTATTAAAAACTAATTCCCCTTTCTAAATGATATCGGAAAACAATTCCTGGCAATGATTCAAATCACTTTATGCATGATTTTTTTTTCAGTTCGAATTTCAGACGCGGAAATATTTTCTCATTTGACCAAGGTTACTTAATGTTTTAAAGATTTGCGCGCATAGCGTCACGGAAAATGAAATTGCCATGCCGAGTTCGTTGTGTTCACATTCTCACAAACAACGCTGGGAAAGAGAAACCCATCTCTTCTCTCTCCCAGCTATGGCTTAGATAGTAATACAGACTGGTTGCCAGCCTAGGCGAAAGAGCCCAATCTAAGAGAAGGACAACTCTAAATTCAAAAGTGACTCTGCATGGAGCTAGCAGTTCCACTTAGTAAATACCTACTTACTATGGAAATCACAGCAGCAACATTTAACTTGGCGAGGCTGTGGTTCTATGCTAAATAGGAAAGTTTCAGGAAGTTAGATATTTCATATTTTATACGTAAAATACAATAAGGTATCATTAAAAAGATAGAGCTTACTTGTGTCATGGCAGACAAATGGTTCAAGTGGTCAGACATCGAGTAGTGATCATGTTGATCGGCGGCCTGCATTCCATCATAGTCAATATCGAGTCTTTGGGAAGAAACGTCCAAATAATGTTGTTCTTGTTTAACCGAGGAGAAGTGTTTTGGGGTGTTGACATTTCGGTTTGCTAGAAAACAAGTACCTGGTGTATTTGATGATAGGTTGGGACGAACCCCTTTGTCGTCTGGAAAAAGGCCAGTAAAAGAAAAAAAATCATTCAATGATGAATTACAGTTTTTGATGTTCAGCATCAACGTCTGAATGCGTCGTACAGTAACAAAGATTTTTTTTGCTTTGATGAATATATTACAAATAAAACGAGCTTTTTAATCAAACTCTGCCGCTCCGGCGGCCACGTAACCTGAGAGGGACCGTGCCTTTCGCCGGCGGTTACAAAGCGTAAGAAGGCCAGTTGTTAGCGGCCATGGGCTTCTGGTTAAAATCAAATTATTAGGGCTTTGAGATCCCCACAATGCATGGTCATACTAAATTAAATACAAAAGAACCTTTTATGGCTACTATAAGAAAATTTGTCGATATCGAGTTGACAATTGTTTAGTAAGAAAGTGACTGCTCAATTTCTATCGACAAAATATATTTTATAATTAAAATAATGAATACGTAAAAATTATGTTCACATTAGAAAATGAAGACTATTTAGTACCAAATAAAAATACCGCTGCGAATATTTTAAGTTATAAAATAAGCGGAAAATCTTTTATCCATGGAACAAAATAATCATGTCGCTGAAAAACAAAAAACAAATAAAAAACACAACAAAATATAACTAAGAATAATATTAGGCAAACTCTAACAAAACCCCCAAATGGAAAGCGTCATGGAAAATAACAAAGTGCCCAACTTTTGGCTCTATCACCGATCCATAAAACCATTGCGCACATTTTATCAATGCTAATTAATAACTCCAATGAAATTCCAGAATGGATCACTGAAACTCAGATCTCTTACCAAAAACGGTTGAAACAGATGACACCCCCCACCCGCAAAAAATATATATAGGTCAATCATGTGTCTGTCCACCACATAAATAGATCACGTCTGTTCTGACGGACTGTATTTCCTCTTTTCTAGATTAAAAGAACATTCTACCTCTGGAACAGAAGGGATGACGAAGTTGGTCATCTGGTTGAAAAGAATATTGATAAATAAAATGATCCTGGAAAATTGCAGGTAAAAAGTAAAAATTGTCAGCACAGCTTGTATAGATTATCGTAAAGCCTTTGGTAGTATCCTGTACTCTTGTATCCTTAAAAGGCTTTGGAAATGTACAAAGTCTCCTCGGTAATAGTAAATTTCCTTAAATATAGCATGAGACTGTGGAAAATCATATTATACCTAAATCACACCAAGGGTACTGTCACTTCCAATGAAACTCCCTGTCACCTCTTCTATTTCGCATGAACTAAACAGTAATAACTACCAATAAAAAGTGGGCCAATATATGCACTGGAATATCTGCAACTTTTACGGAAAGAAAACTGGTATGAACGCCACCCAGACATTGTTACAGGTCCTATCTGTAACTATCTTATGGGATTTTACAATATACACAGAGACAGAACAATCAAAGATAATCACCCAGACATTTTGATCGAAGACCACAAGAACAGAACGTGCTTTCTTATTGACATGGCAGTCCCTGTAGATTGTAATGTATCTTTGAAGATCTTCAAAAACTATCAAAATCTTGAAATGGAAATATAAAAAATATGGCAAACGAGGGCCTCAGTAATTCCAGTTGTAGTTGCAGCCTTCGAATTCATTGGAAAAAGTTTCGATAGACTCATTGAAGGGATATCTCATAGCCCATGCCTTAAAGAAATACAAAAAACATTGTACTCGCAAGTACAGCTCACACCTTATTAAGGGCTTTATATACGTAAAATGTGTGTGTGTGTGTTTTTTTTTTTAGATAAACGCTTAGTGGAAAATGTCACGATGACATTTATGCACGCAGCATCTGATTGGGACGCAGAATGAAATAAGTATACGAGATTAATAATAATAATCAGAGGAAGATGATGTGGAATAACAGTAATGATGAAAAGAGGAATAAAATAATAATAGGAGGAGGAATACTAATAATAAGGGGAATAGTAATAATAAAAATAATATTACTAATGATAATAAGAGGAATAATAATAATGAGAGGAGGCGGAATAATAGTAAAAATAAAATAATAATAATAATAGTAGTAGTAGTAGTAATAAGAGAAGGAAGAATATTTTCGTTAAGGTTCATCGTTAAATAAAAGACCAAAAGAGAAGAAATATTGTCTTGTCGCCAACTCAAGTGAGTTGAACCAACAACTTATTATAGCATAAAATGAATCTGATTGAAATACGAGTAGAAAGATTGTGTTATACTTATTTTGTAAATCGTGGGAGCCGATTTGTCTGGGTGCGAATACTGACCTCTGCCACAGAATGGTAAATACATAATTTATCTACGAGGCAATCAGTAAGAAAGAAAGATGGAAATCTAGTATCGAGGAAATAAAAGGAATGGGAAAAAGAAAGACAAGAAGCTAAGGGAGAAGAAAGAAAGAGAAAAAGGAGGATAAAGGTAAGAGAGAATAAGATATACAATAGAGGAGGAGAAAATAAGTGAGAAAATGGCTAAAAGAACGAAACCATTTCTAGAAAATATTACCTGCTTTCATGTGCCGGTCTAGGATGATTTGCAATTCGGCATCTTTTTCATCGTGCATCTGAGATTCGACGGCCAGAAGAACATATTCATCCATTAACATCCGTATCAAGTGAACAGAAGCTGAAAGAAAGAAAATTGAGGAGTGAAACGCAGGTGAGACATTGAAAAAGAGAGGAAAGCTACGTTAGAGAAAAAACAAACAAACTTCGTGACATGAGGGATAGAGTGCAGAGGAAGTGCAAGAAGTATTCGAATAAACAACTTAATTATACTGTCATCTGTTTGTAGATTAAATAAAGAAAAGTTCTGTAAATGTTTTTTTTTTCATTTTTCTTGTAAAATAAACGTACCTTAGACATTTGCTGGAATGGGAAATATTTTGTAAAGTGCTTCCCAGAATTCACCACGCGCCAGATTCATGAACACTCAAGAAACAATTAAAAATCAGATAAATGCTTAACCTGTGTGAATGCGTAAGCGGACATAAACATTTGTGCGTGTATATAGTTTTTTATTAAAAAAAAAAAAAAACTATACAAGGCGACGAAGCCATTAAGATGCAAGAGGTTACTGAGAGTGAAAGAAAACGATAAAACGTTAATGGGGAGAAAGGAAAACAAAAGAACCAGTATATAAAAAAAGACAAGATGCCGATTGACGTTACATTTAAATTTTTCAAGATCGTAGTTGACAGGAAAGCATTAAATCGGAATAGTGTTCCAAAGTCGAGAAGTACGAACAAAGAAAAAGAAACTATTAGGTTACATCAGTAAAAGGATGAAACCTAATTGCCAATCTATTAGTACGTTTAAATTTGTGAAGTCGAGGTACTAAAGAGGAAAGCTCACGAGTGCAATTGCTATGAAAATATTTATCGTAAAAGGTACAGGGAAGCTGCGTTATTATACAAGCACATTGTCATACAGTTTGCAAATGACTCAGGAGACATGGATTGGTTAGGTATACCCAAAGATAACACGGAGGCAGATTAAGAGTCTCTAGTAAGCACGAGGGGCTTCCTGAAATTGAATATTTCGTATGAAATATTTTTGGGGGGCGGGGTGGGTGGTTGGTAGTGAAATAATTCATGAGTGAGTGTTTTACTCAAATTCCTTTTGTCTCGTCTGTAAATCTGTGTCAAATGTCGTCCCCCAGCATAATGAAAGTCATTGCCTTATTTCAAAATTTTTCCAGCCATTTGTACCACCTCGTACCTTAGGGTTGTTCGCCGTAATACACTGCGAGTACGGAAAATTTGGGGGAGGTTTTCTATTGTATCAAATTCCCCCCCCCCAAAGAATCAGTCTTTGTTTGACAAGCTCTTATCTCATTCTCGTCACCAAAATATACTTCCCTGTCTTCGGTTGGCGTAGTTTGAAATTAATATTAGCTTAAGCACCCCCCTTTACCCTGGGGGGGGGCAACCCCCAGGCAGTATCTCTTCTTCGAGAGGCTGCTGGAGTCATTACCCAGCGCCTGAGGTGTTCACAAAGGGGAAATTACCGAGGGGACTTGAGGAATTTTTCCACGGTATTTCTGGTAGATCCATTTTAAACCTCATTCAATTGTGACATGAGTGCACTGGAAAAAATCAGAAAATGTCGTACAGTTCGTGAAAGACTAATGCACCAGGTACATCCAAATAAATCACTAAAAGCTAAAGGTTTCTAGCATGTACAGAGGAGCTGTTTGAAGTCAGGTGATTCATATATCGCGTGCCTGCGCTATCTTTATTACAAAGGATTGATTAGTTTTTACAGTTTGTCAACCTTTTGCAGATTATTTAAAGCCAGAAAATATTTTTGAATTGTAAGTTTTTTTTTTTTAGATAATAATGATTAAAAAATAATTACTAATTTTAGGTTATCTTGCAAGTGAGTCATATGTGGAAGATTGTATTCTATACGAGAAAATTTCCGATGAAAATCAGGATTTTAAATCTTGCCTCTTATAAGATCTAGTGTTGATATGAAGTATGCAACTACTAACGCCACCGAACAGGCTCTTATTGTAACAATATCTATCAGCAACACTTATAATTTGCAGAAATTCAAAGCACAGAAAGATGACCATCCAAATTTATATGTATTGAAAGTCATTTTGAAATGCGATCATAAAAACAGAATTTGACAACACGAAGAATCAAAATCAACTCACCAAAACTCTGCGCATTGCTGAGAGTCAAGTTGTGCATGACTCTGGCACCAAAAAAAGACCATTTTAGAAGAAATTCCTGTGCGCGTTTCTTAAAAGATCGGCCATTTTGCTTGCTTGGCTACAACAAAAAGAATTCTTTTAAACACTTGCTTGTAAATGCAGTCGTATATATTTCAGTATTGGTTTCAAGTGTTGTTGTTTTTTTTTTTTTAATAATTCAGTCAGTAATACTTGTATTCATTTCTAACCACTGACAATCCCTTTTCTTTTATTTTTCAACATTTTCTATAGTAAAATTATTGACAATAATTTACAACTATAAAATGAGTAGTAATGAATTTACTCTCTCTCTATATATAGCAGCTTTATTCTGTCAGTAAAGCTTGTTTAAATGTATGTCCACTGACAATAGTTTTCTTTC